TAGACTTGGTACATTGCCAGACATTTCGCCGACATCTTGAATGAACCTAGCCATTCTTGAGACTAGACTACAATTTTTCAGAGATAGGTACAGTTCTACCTTTGACCAATCGTCTACTGAACAGTTGTATATCTCCTGTTCTGGTACATTCACCTATATTATTCTCGAAGGACCCCCTTCACTATCGCGATTTTCAACTTGCTTATTTTAACCTGGTCCAGATGTGCTCTTTTGATAGGACTTAGTAAAGCCTATTCACACTCTCCACTTTTTCCCTCATCCTCCTATTATGCCGAAATGCTAATCCAATTCTGTCCTTTAAGTCTGCGATCTACAGCATCCGAGTCCTATCAAACTCTTTAAGACTCCGTAAGGTCAGTAAACCATCTACCTGCTTCAGTAATTTCACTCGATCATTGCTACTATGTCTGTGCCACTCGAGACGTTATTTCCCGCACTCCGCTTCAAGCTTTTGATAGCACATATAATATAACCTTATAGAGAAGGCCCTTAGTCTAGATTTTTAGGCTGGATTAAAAAGTAACTTAACTCTACAGTTTCTCTTGTCATTGTAGAAATTGAAAAGAGACTTTGTGACACTTACCCAGTCCTGAGTCCTCTATCATAGTATTCATTATTTCCAGCGTGACAGTTGACTTGGCACATTCACATACGTTCTATGACATTGCCAATGAGAGGCACAACCGCTAGTACAGTTACACCTTATCATAGTGACAAATGAAAGCAATTCTCTTGACCAATTTTGCACTCAGTCGTTGTGGCACCACTTACCCATATTTTTTGTCTTACCTTCTAGTGCTGCATCTTTATCTAATATATAAATAGTAGGCTTGCTAAATAAATTATGACATGACTTTCAAGTTCGAAAGAAAAGTTGGTTGAAAGAAATTTGTGATGTGGCCTCATCGAGAACCGAAGAAGTGAATATTGTTGTATTGCACCAATAAGTCCTCGGCTGCTCGTCCTACTACCCTGGTGAACCTGTTCCAGTTTTTCGTCTGTAATGTGACGAGCATCATCTCTTGGTTTAGTAAATTTTTAATCTATTTTTTAGAGTATTGATTCTTATTCTGATGATGCATGTCACAGTACAGACAAAAACTTAGCACGGGTTCTTCAGAGTAATAAAACAGTGGAGCGAGGACTTCTTCGCACAAAACAACAGTCTTCCCCAAGCAGCAATCTTCCATCCGTTTCCGATGAGACCACAACACGAGAGCTTTCCAAACAATTTTCCATTGAAATGAAAATTATGTCACAAAATATCACTAAAGAATTCTTCAAAGCTCAGTTTTTCTTCATATCTTTGCTAAATTAAATGCAAGGCCAACACGGATGCAGAGAACAGGATTTTACAAGCTTATAAGTGATAATTCTTCTCTCGTTGACAAAGCTCTTATAGCTATTTTGTCAAAACTTGAAAGTTTTAATAAAATTCAAAAGTAAGGAGCACGAAATTAGAAACCACAATAAAAAAATTCGAAGAAGTCACTAGACTAGCAAGGTTAAATTTAAAATTTAGAAGCAATCCTAAATGTTAAATAAATAATGCCTATGGCAAGAAATACAAGCCCATTTTGTTCTAAATATAGGAAAAAAGTCAAAATACCTAAACTTTTCGGAGATGAAGTGAGCGAAAAAAAGGCAAATGAGATAAGCTCAGGAGACAGACTAGGTCTAATTTCTCTTAAACTACACGCACAAGCATAAACATTATGTTTTATTTCAAAATTAGATCTGCATTTGATCCGATTTCCTACGTATAAAAATTAAGGTCCAATGACATGCGAAAATAAATAACTGAGGCACTCACCTCATTAAATTTTGATATGTCGTCGAGAACTTGAAGTGCGATGTACTTCCTAAGGTGAGTAACAGTTGCTTTAGATGATAGCCTGAGAAACTTTCTGGTCAGAGGTGCCAATCCTTCCGAGCCCGGTTCCAGATGGACATTAACTTGTTCATCCATTCGATGAAAATTTGGATCAAAATCTAGGCCAACGGCAGGTTTTAGACCCTCTGAGTCAATTTTAGATTGAGAAGTAAATCCGGCGACCGAAACATTGCACGTAGCTAAAGAACCAATTTCTAAAATACAGAATAGCATAATAATTACATTAAAATGATTTAAATGTTTTTTCTAAGGATGCAAACACATGCGTCCTTAGATGAACAAAAAATGCCAAGACATCCGATTTAGAAAATAAATGATAAATCCAGACAAGAATAAA